GAGGAGGAGGAGGAGGAGGAGGAGGAGGAGGAGGAGGAGGAGGAGGAGGAGGAGGAGGAGCGCGTGGGGTCGTGTAGGGGCGGCGTCTTGGGCACCCCTTGGGGGCGCCTCGCCTGGTCCTTGATGTACTCCTCGCTCTTGAGCCTCGCCGCCATCTCCTTCGCCTGCTGCACGGCGTCCTCCTCTCCCTCGCGGGCCTGCTCCAGGAACATGAACAGCCGCTGGTAGTCCGAGAAGCCCAGGACGTCGGAGCTCTGCCAGAAGGCCAGGGCGTCCTCGTCGTCGGTGTTGCCGATGTCCGAGGCCACCACGCTGAGCAGCTCCGCGTGCTCGAGTGCCTCGGCGCCAAGGTTCTGTGCGCTTGCATCTGGCGACTTGTGCACATGGACGAGCAGATTGAGCCCACCAGCCCTCCAGGGCGTGGGTGATCTAGCACACGTGCTCTGCCAGCCCCCTTTTCCCCCTTCGGGGAGGGCTCCTTCCCGCTGGAAAACTCCTCCCCCACCCCGCCAGCGACAACCCTGGGGCAGCGCCTCCCCCTGGCCCCCAAATCCCCGCCGGAGCATACAAACTACACGCTGCGGCGAGATCTGAAACCATGCGCGGGCGTCCCGCGTTCCCTTTGAGCTATCTTGCGTCACGGGGTCCGGAGGGGCTTACGCTGGGCGGTGTGCGCGGGCGCGCCAAACCTGTAAATTATCCCAGTGCGACCCTACCTAGGAGTTGGAGCCTCTAGGAAAGCAGCATTAGTAGGAGCGGTAAACGCCGTACTGCTAGGCTATGCTATGCTATGAAATGCTATGCTATGCTATGCTATGCTGCGCTATGCTATGCTGCGCTATGCTATGCTGTGCTGTGCTATGCTGTGCTATGCTATGCTATGCTATGCTATGCTATGCTATGCTATGCTATGCTAGGCTATGCTTCTGCTTTGCCTTCGTTTTTGCCTTCACTTTTGCCTTTGCTTTTGCTTTTGCTTGGCACCCTGGGAGCGCAACTGGGGGAACCGCGCGTTTGCTTTTACCTTTGCTGTTGCTTTTGCTTGGCTCCCAGGGGACTGGGGGAACCGCCCGGGGCGGTTTGCACTGCCCGGCCCCTCTAAGCCAACAGAGTAAGAACCCTTCTAGGCAGAGCCTAGGTAGGGGGAAGAGAAAAAAAAAAGGCAAGTGCGAAGTGATCGCGAGCGCACCTGCCATACACCACGAGGGCCAACACACCGCCACGCAGCAGGGGCTTTTGCAAACGATCATTGGGGGCCGACGCGGTTCCCGCTGCGCGCTGTCGCGTGCACCGTGGTACCTGCCGCGGGCGGAGCACGTGGCACGCTTGGCGCACGTGGAGCACGTGGCGCAACTGCTGCACCGGCCGCGCCTGGCACGCTTGGGCCCCCGGGGCGCCCGGCGAAGCCGGTGCGCGTGGCGCGCGTGGCGCGCGTGGCCGGCGCCGCGCACCTGGCGTCTGTATCTGGTCCCCGTCGCCTGTCCTTGCCGCCCCACCCCCCCGCCACCCACCCCACCCCCCTCTCCCCGCGACCGGTTGTTACTATGGCCCGTTGGGTGTCAGTGTGGCCCGTTGGGTGTTAGTGTGGCCCGTCGCGCGGCGCGATGGGAGTTACTGTGGCCCGCGCAGGCCGCCCAATGAAAAGTAAGATGTAAAGGTATCTCATGTTAGATCTGGAGAGATTCGCAACCCTTAAGCGAATGCACTCCCGCGCAGGCAAAAGTGGCCACAGTAACTCCCACCTGGAACCAACGTGGTGGTAGTGCTGTGTTAGTGGTGTGGTGGTCGCTGTGCTGTGTTAGTGGTGTGGTGTTGGTAATGTTGTGTTAGTGGTGTGGTGTTGGTAGTGGCTGGTTGTGCTGTATGCTGTGTTAGTGGTGTGGTGTGGTGTGCTGTGTTAGTGGTGTGGTGTTGGTAGTGTTGTGTTAGTGGTGTGGTGTTGGTAGTGCTGTCGAGTTGTTAGTAGGTAGTAGTGTTGTGGTTGTTGGCAGTGGTGCTGTGGTAGCGGTGATGTGGTAGCGGTGTTGTGGTGTTGTGGTTGTGGTATTGTGGTAGCGGTGTTGTGGTGTTGTGGTAGCGGTGTTGTGGTGTTGTGGTACTGGTATTGTGGTAGTGGTGCTGTAGTGTGGTAGTACTATGGTGCTGTAGTGTTGGTGTTCTGTAATCTCATTCATAGGGAGAACTAATCCTACGGAGTACGAACCGCAGGGAGTGCTAGCCCCAGGGCGTACTCGTCCAAGGGAGTACTCGTCCCAGGGAGTACTCGCACTACGGAGCACCAGCCCTAGGGAATACTAGTCCTAGGGAGTGCTAGTCCGAGGGAGTGCTAGGAAGTATTGGCGCTAGGGAGTGCTAGCCCTAGGAAGTACTGGCGCTAGGGAATGCTAGCCCTAGGGCGCTAGGGGCGACGAGTAGTAGTAGTAGTAGTAGTAGTAGTAGTAGTAGTAGTAGTAGTAGTAGTAGTAGTAGTAGTAGTAGTAGTAGTAGTAGTAGTAGTAGTGATAGTGATAGTAGTAGTAGTAGTAGTAGTAGTAGTAGTAGTAGTAGTAGTAGTAGTAGTAATAATAGTAATCGTAAGAGAGCTAGTAATCGTAGTAGTAGTAGTAGTAGTAGTAGTAGTAGTAGTAGTAGTAGTAGTAGTAGTAGTAGTAGTAGTAGTAGTAGTAGTAGTAGTAGTAGTAGTAGTAGTAGCAGCACTAGTAATAGTAATAGTACTAGTAATACGAATAGGAATACGAATAGGAATAGGAAAACGACTATGAATAGGAATAGGAATAGAAATAGTAATAATAATTGCAATAGAAATAATCTAATAATAATAATAAAAATAGTAATTGTAATAATAATAATAATAATACTAATACTAATAATAATAATAATAAAAAAAAAAAAAATAGTAATAGTTCGGAGAGCCCAAGACGCTCTTCGGAGAGCCCAAGAAGCGCTTCGGATGCCCCAAGAGGCTCGTCGGAGGCCCCACGAGGCTCTTCGGAGAGCCCAAGAGGCTCTTAGGCGGCTGCAAGAAGGTCTTCGGCGGCTCCAAGAAGCTCTTCGGAGAGCACCAGGGGCTCTTCCGAGAGGCTCTTCGGTGAAGGGGGGGCGGCGCCTTTTTGGACCCCCCCCCCCTCTCCTTCACCGTACCCGATAATTTAATACACTCCAGAGGACCCCTGGCCATACTAACACCCACCGGGCCGCAGTAACAACCAACGGGCCGCAGTAACACCTGATCTCCCCTCTTCCCCCCATCCCCCCCTCCCCCCCCCTCCCCCACTCCCCCCCCTCCCCCCCTTCCCCCCTCCACCCCCCCGCTCCGCTCCGCTCCTCCCTCACGCCCCCTCCCCCTATCCTGCCCTCCCCCCCGAATGTGCTGAGGCTCGGAGCCTACTCGTGTGGCGGGGCGGGTGGGAGTGGGCGAGGCGGCCTGCGGCTTGCGGCTAGCCAGGCAGTCTGCGCCTGGGAGGTGTGCTTTGACCCCTCCCCCTACCCCCCATACCCCTGGGCCTGGAGGGGGGTGGGGGGCGCGGGTCGTTAGAGCGTCCAAGATGGCCCGAGATGACTCCAAGAGGGCCTCAGAGAGCCCAAGATAGCCTTCAAGATGGCTCAGGATAGCGAGATTACTCAAGATGGCCAAGCCTATGCTTCTAATCAGCCACAAGACCGCTCCAAGACTGCTCAAAGCGGCCATGGACCTCTCCCCAGAGGCCAACATCTTTCCGAAACCCATGGGAAATCAATATGGTTTGTCTTCTCGCACCGAAAATCCAAGCCTTCCGCCCCAAGAGTCCCCTAGGAGGCCCCAAGAGGCGTCCAGGAGGCCCCAAGAGGCCCCGAAGAGGCCCCCAAGAGGCCCCCAAGAGGCTGAAAAGAGGCCCTAGGAGGACCCAGAACGGCCCCCAAGAGGCCTCCAAACTACCTCCAACAGGCCCCCGAGAAGTCTCCCACGAGATCCCAACGAACATCCAATAGGCTTCACACCCACAACCCAGGCACGGTGGCGGGATTGGCCGAAGGCCATTAGACATACATCTTCAGATATGCTCAAGGCACTGCCAATTTGAAGATTTGCCCAATGACTTCTCTGATACCGTCCAATTGCATTAATCAAACGATTGTCAACGTTTGCTTTTACTCGGCGTTTCGACATAGGGCGGAACAGGGGAGAGGAGGGGGAGGGTCTGGCTCCAGACCTCTGCTTAGTGCGGCTGTTTGGAACGGTGTCCATTCTGGGGGAGACTCCACCTGCTCGAAACAGGCGCCAAAAACAGCCAAGATCTACTCCATGGGGGGGAGGGGGGGGGTTGGGGGTCCGCGCCGATCGGCAAAACAATGAATAAAAAAACGATCACATTGCTCCAGCCAGCGCGTGTTTGAACAGTTGTCCTAAGACTTCCCTGGAACCTTGAACCTTCAAACGAGGCGCCAGGCCTCAGGCTCCAAGTGAACTAGAAAATATGCTCTGCTCTGCGACGGGCGCGTTTAGAAGGTCCTGCTCAAGGAACCCCTCGCATCTTCAACCCTCGAACTTCAAGCGGAAGCGTCGCCTAGAGGAGGAGAGGCAGGAGAAGAAAGGAGGAGGATATGATACATAAGGAATAGCGGTCAAGAGACAGATCCTTCGGATGGAAGGGAGGTCCCATCTGTATGAACATATGTACGTGCATCTAGGTTCCTACTTTATGTGTGCACACATCTCTATACCCAAAATGCATGTGCGTGCCCAGGCTCAAACAAACACGTGTGCAGGGTGCGAGTGTTCTGTGTGTGGTGTGTAATGCGCGTGTTTTGTATGAAGTGTGTTGTGTACGTGCGTTGTTTGTTTGTGCTGTGTGCGAAGTTGTTGTAGTAGTATTGGTATGTGGTGTCGTTGTGTTGTGTGTCCGTTGTGTGTGCGTACGTGTTGCTTGTGCTGGGTGTGTTATGTGTGATGTGTGCGTTGTGCGTGCGCGCGTGCGTATTTATGTGTGTTATCTGGTTGTGCTCAGTGTTGTATGTGTGAGTGTGTTGTATGTTGTGTGTTGTGTGTTGTGTATTGTGTGTGGTGCGTGTGTGTGCGTGTTCTGTGCGTATTAGCTGTGCGCGCATTGTACACCAGGGCTCAGTGTTGGGAGGATGTCTCAAGCAAGACTGTTTTGTCTTCTGAATATAGTTTTCACAAGGGCCTCGGCGTTTGGATAATGCTTCAGGCGAAGCTGCAAGTTTCTAAAAAGTGCGGTCACACTGAATGAAAACCATTGTGTTCTGACGGCGAGCGGGCCCCCCCCTCTTCTCTATGCGCTGTCTTTACGCGGCAAAGCTTGGGGGAGTGCCGCAAGGGATGAGCCGAGCCAGGATCGCG